AAAGATTTTTTTGAAAACCATTAGCAAAAGATATCAAAATGTTTGTGGCTATGTAAATACTTATCCTTATATTACACTTCTAGAAATTTATCTTAAGGATAGTTTCAGAGATGAACACACATATGTGTAATGCTGACTGTTTTTTAAAGTTATGCACAATAGGGACTTTATTAAAGAAAATTATGATACACACATTTGATAGTATCTATTGGGTCTTTAATCATGATTATAAAATATTTAGTGCCATGAAAATGCCCTCACAGTAAAGAAGTGAAAGATGTATCTTTAAAAGATGTGTTTTTCCTAAATGCGCCAAAACAGATGACAGAATCAAGAAGATTCAGTGTATGCATACACAAGGAATACTACTCAGCAATCAAAAAAAGATATACTCATACCATTTGTAGCAACATGGATGGAGCTGGAAGGGATTATGCTCAGTGAAAAAAGTCAGAAGGAAAAAGAAAAATACTGGCTGGTTTCACTTAGAGGAGCAATATAGGGAAACCAAACAGAGGGTCAGGGAAAAAAAAAAAAAGAGAAAAAGACAAAACTATCAGACAAACTATAAATCAGAGACACACAGCAGGGGAAGGGAGGGAGCAGGATCAAAATAGCGAAGGGAAGAGCACAAGAAACTATAGTGTGGTTCACAGGTGACATGGGGTTGAGAATATTGTGAGGATTACACCTGAGAGGAGAAATCAACCATTGTACAAAAATGAACAATGATGTAAAAAATATATTTTTAAATTAAAATAAAAATAAATAAAATGTGTTCTTTTAATTTCAATTTTTCCAAGAAAAAGTATAAATATAGAGGCATGTATGTTTGTGTACATTCATATATATATATATATATATGAAATGCAAAGGTTGATTAGTTTTCAGTGTAGAAATTTTTAATAATTTTAATGTTCTTTATTATGTTTTTATATTTCAAAATATATGGTGAATACATACTTTTAATATGTGCAAAATAACTTTGGGTTTCTGTTTATTCTTCAAAGATTAACACATAATTCTGTTTCTCTAAAGCCTCCCCTAATGCTCTAATCTGAATAAATTCCTCTTCCTGCACTTCTAGCACAGTCTAATTTCACCATTTGGTGTTACAGTACTGTGGGTTGTTTATATGTCTTACTCCACAGCTAGCCCTTGAGGTTTGAGCACAGGCCTAGGGTTTACTCACTGACACAAACTGACATATTCCAAATGTGTGTCCTCAGAGGGAGTTTAGTGGGATTGTTCCAGAACACCAGGGCAAGGAGAGAGACGTAAGCATCTTTACAACATAGTTTCACATCTGACTTGCTCATGCCTGGGACCCATTTGGAACAGAAATGGGCTTTTTCAAGGAAAAAACTTGATGTTCAGAATTAGAATGTCCCGCTTCTGATTCTAACTCCTCATTCCCATATTTCTAACTCCAGGGTAGCCATGCAACCATGAATCCATGCTGCCCCCACTCCACTGCCTCAGCAGCCCTTCTGGCCCTAGACCTCACCCTGACGGTTGCAGACTTTACTACAGATCATTTGCTGTGAGAATCTTTTTGGCTCTTTGGCACATTTCTCAAGATTTTCTATTCAATAGTCGCCCTACTCTGAGGTTATTTCGTTATTCAGATGGTAACTGAATCTCACATGCCCAAGAACTAACAATGCTATTATTTTCAAAATGACTCAGCAAAGTGAGTATTCAAAATCATAGTTCCATGTGATCCTGTTACGGGGACCAGCAGTCTCAGGGGCGGGAGCGGCAGGACGGCGGCTCCTCTCCCCGCGCTGCTCCAGCACGAGGCAGCCCCGGCAGCTGCTCCCGGAGCGCGGGCGCGGCCCTGTGCAATGGCCCCGACAGGTGCGAGCTGCGAGCCGACTGGAGCTAAATGGCCCGATCACACTTGTAGGGGAGAGACAGAAGCCAGGGCTGGAGGGCGCTAAGGAGTCCCCGAAGGAAAGGAGACCATGACCCCAGCCCTGAGGTGAGGACAAGGGAGCTCCCGAAGGAGGAGAGACGACGCCGGCCCCTGAAGAAATGAAAACGGCTCCAGCTTCCGAAGAGGAAAAGCAGCATCCAGCAGCGCCCTCCGCGGAGGGAGAGAAGCCGAGGGACTCGGTCACGGTCATGGGCGGGGCCTCGGGCCTGTCTCTGGCGTTGCCTGAGAGGAGCCCCAAAGGCCCTGGGCCTGGTGCCCCTAAGAGCTGTTTGTGGTTGGTGTAACCCAGTGACTCACAGAGAGCTGTTAGCATATGGTGTCTTTGACACCACCTCTGTGGGACCAGTAGTGGCCGTCACTATTGGCCGGTGCTGTCCTTCACTCCCTGTGACCAGTTGCGGCCATCACTGATGGTACCTGGGTGAGGCAGCTGCTATTCGTGGGTACAGTGAGCTCTCTGTTTCCCCTGTTTGTAAGTAAACCCCATGGTGGTTGTTCCTGGAGTCAAGGTCTCTTGCAATTGTGTGTGCGGGTGAGACCCACAGACAGCGACCTGTCCTCTTATCGGGTGCTGTCCTTTAGCTTTTGGTTTTTGGCCTTTTTTGGCCTTTTGAGGCTTTTGGGTGGTGCTCTGTCTCAGAGCCTGGGCAGGTGGGTCGCCATTCCATCCCTCTGGCCTCTTGCCCTGTAACCTCTTTTGTGATCCTCTCTGTCCCTGTTTCATTCCTTTTAAGTTCTTTACTTGATTTTAATTAATTCTCTTAATGAAGCACTCGTCTCCATTTCCTTTATAGATTTTTAGGTCATGCTAACCATGAACTTAACTGAGAGTATTCCTAGATATTCGTTGAATTCTATTCATATATATTTCCTTGTAAGGGCAAAATAAAATGAGAAGAATTTATGAGAGGGCAACTCTAAAGAAGATGAACTAGAGGCACAATACTCCTTGATTTTGCCTTTTAGCCATTCCAGTACGTTCAGACTGGGGCAACAGAATTGATTGAATTCCCTATCTGCTATAATAAGAATTTTCAAAGATTAATAAATGGCATCTGGTAACCAAAAGGAAATCCTTTATTCAGAGGTGTCCATACTCAGGGAAAATGTAAGAGAGTATTGGTGGTAGGGAAGTTTGGAGTCATACAGTTTAGTCATTGAAACTTCATGGCAAGATGAACCAGGTTAGTAAAATAGAAAGCAATAAAACTGTCAGGATTCTGTTTCTCTGTTTTCAATAAAAAGGAACGCCCACCAATGATAAATTCCTAAAAGTCGAATAGCAAAGGATACACAAAGAACTGAAAGCCCTTCAAAACCAGATCACAATATGTTGAACCCAAATGGAATACCATTTGATAAAGAGAATTGAAAATTATCTTTGATTTCTATTTCAACTTCCATCTCACATGCAGTTGGAAAAATAAGAGTGGGCCTAATATTGATTACTATAACCCCATGTATGAACTAATTTATTTCTTATGTTTCTTTGCATAAATCTTCATTTTAGAAAACAAATGTTTAGTGTTATCACATAAGTGAGAAGACATTTATATGTAAGTAGTATAGATATAAGTATTGTAGGATTTATAGTAGCAACAAATAAATAGGTAGATGAGGGGGGAAGTGGAAAAATTAAATTATCCATACTGAAAATTTTTACCAGCAATTGTAAAGAATAGGGTAGAGCTACATGCACTGACCTAGGAGGTCTCCAAGATATATTACTATGAAATGTTGTAATAAAATGTGTATGATATTATTCTATTTTTTTTTTAATTCACAAGAGAAAGCTGTACACTTTTTGGTGTGTATCTACCTCTATGTGTAAAATTCCTGACATGTAATAATTTGTATGATCCATAAAAACAGTAATTTAATATAATCTAACAAGTATAGAGGAAAAACAGAAATATGTATATTTACTAATAGCAAAGTTTCTCTCTTAGAAGTATTTGAATTTTTATAATGTGAGTTATACATGCACTTCTTATGTAATTAAAATTGTATGAAATTTATATTTAAAAGTGAAGGAAGGAAAGAAGACAGGCAGGCAAGCAGGGAGGAGAGCACCAAGCATGCTGGAGCACCATGCAAATTAGGGAACAGTGGAAAAAAGAAAAAGGGGAGTTTTGAAGGCAGAGACTTTGAGTGGGATGATACAAGAAAATTTTAAGCATCGTTGTGACCATGTATATGTTCCAGTCACTACTGAGATATTTTCTTGTCTTCAATTAATCCAAAAATAGTAACAATAATGGTGAGACAAAGACAACAGAAACACCTGGTCTCATTAGACAAGAGAGCTGGAGTGAGAAAGCCTGATACCAATGGTGCCTTTGAGTGAGGTTCCAACAGATCATTCATGAGTCACATATAAAATGTTAATAGTCTCATGGGGAAGATTCATTTTGATGGTTGGGCAGAGAAAGGAATTCTCCACATGTTATATAAGGGATTAGACAACGTGGGGAGAAGCTGTATGATGCAAGACTGGTAATTCCAAATATCTTGGTGTTGCCAATTGGACACCATACTTGTTCTTTCCCAGGTCGTGCCTTGAGGGCTGTTATGATGTGTTATACAGGTGCAGCACCCAATAAGTCACAGCTAGTTTGATCATTTATAGCCACTTAGCTTTTAAGTTTAGTAGTTTAGTTTAGGTGAAAATGACTTTGAAGCATTGATGGGTACTTGAGAGCAAATAATTGTGTCCCTCTAATTAAGTGTGTCTTGTGGGTTACAAACACTGGAATTGGCACCTTGTATGTGTTATCTCCTCTAGTTCACCCAGTGATCCCCTTAGCATCTGAGGTAATGAATTTAGAGAGTCTTCCAACCTATGTAAGATTGACAGGGAAATATTAATCTAAAGCCACATTCTCAAAATATAGCAAATATGTTTATAATTATGTGATTGTAGCTTCATACATTGATAGAATTACTATACATGATACATCTTGTAATTATGCAAAAGAAAATGAAGATATTATGTGCACACACATAGCTGCAGCTACTTCAACATGTCTACTCACACACGCTCACTTTTCCATTAAGTTACCAAATTTGGCTCCATAATGCTGTGGGTTGTCCTCATCCCTCCTTTGGATGTGGTACCTGCTCAGATCAATGATACTGCTTTGCCTCCCTGTCACTTCAGGAAACCCTGAAATAGAGAAAGTTATGAGACTTGTCGATAAAACCCAAGGAAGAAAAAACAAGTAGAGAAAAAATTCTTGCCAAATAAGTCCCAGAGATAATTCTTCTTGGGCTTATCAGTGTTGGGCTCACTGATTTAGCCTCGATTTGATGTAACAGAAATGATTCTGGGTGCTAAAATCAAAGTTCCTTCCCTAGCCAGGTGTCTAATTAGCCATGAGAAGTAGATCAAGTTACTTGCCTCTTTGACTCTCATTTCCTCAAATATAAAAAGTGAAATTTGCACTTAATAAGTGGTTATTAAATTATTGCATTGTCATTTCAGTTAAAAATGTTTTTAATTGTGGTTAAAAAAAACTATATAACATAAATTTACCTACTTAAGTTTTTAAGTACCATCCAGTATTGCTAAATATGTGCACTGTTGGGCCACAGACATCTACAACTTTTTTGTTTTGCAGGATTGTAATTCTATTCCTATTGATCAATTTCCCCTTCCTTCCAGTCCCTGGTATGACAATTCTACTTTCTGTTTCTCTGAATTTGATTACTTTACATACCTTGTATAACAGAATCAGGCAGTATTTATCTTTTGGAATTGGCTTATTTCGCTTAGCATAATATTCTTAAGATTCATTCAGATTGTAGCATATGAAAGGATTTTCTTCTTTAAGACTAAATACTAGTCCATTGTGTGTAGGTGCCATATGGTCTTTATGCCTTCATTTTGCATAAAGTTGCTTCCATATCTCAGCTGTTATGGATAACACTGCAATGAAAGTGGATATGTAAATATCTCTTTGAGATCCTATATTCAATTCTTTTGAATACATACCTGCCATGAATTGCATGATCACATACTAGCTCTCTAATTTTTGAGAGATCACCATACTGTTGTTTTTTTTAAAGATTTATTTATTTATGCATACAAGAGCTGTGGTATAGGCCAGAGGAGGCAGGGGTGAAAGGATTCACCAGAGACAGAGTGGGGAGCAGAACATGCAGATCTACAGAAATACACTGCTGAGGGGAGCAGCGGGTGAGACAGGAGAGGTCTGCTACACCAGTCATGTGGGTTAGCTCCCTGGCCAGCTGGCCAGGGATCAAACTTGCATGCAGTGGCTGCGGATTGTCTCGTAGTGCTGAGGCTTAACCCCTTGCGCCACCAGGGAGGCCCCCACCATACCGTTTTGATGCCACCAACAGTGTCAAAGGTTCCAATTTCTCCACATCCTCACCAGCATATTATTTTCTGTTTGCCTTTTTAATAGTCAACATCCTAGCATTTTTTAGGTTACATTTCATTGTAGTTTTGATTTTCATGTCCCTAGTGATTAGTAATTTTGAATAACTTTTTATAAGCTTGGCCATTTGTATATCCTCTTTGGAGAACTGTCTATTCAAGTTCTTTGCTCATTTTTAATTTTGGTTATTGGGCTTTTTGTTATTGAATAGTAGGAAAAAATACTTTTTAAACTTAAAAAATTGAGGTGTATGTGTTATCTTTTAGATTTTAAAAAGCAGTATTTATTTTTAGCATAATTTGGAGAATCAAATTCAAGAATGGTTATGAATCACATAGATCAGTCCCTGGTATGTGGCAAGTATTCAATAAATGTTAAATGCTTTTGAGGGAGCTTTTTTGCTTTTGGTTTTTTTTTTTGTTTGTTTTTGTTTTGTATCATGTAGCCAAATATATTGCTTTTTTTTTCCCCTTTCCTTCATCTTTCCTTTCTTCTTTCTCTTTTGGCAAGATATAAGCTAAAACGTCCCCATTATCTTCATGAATATATTTGTACATCTCGTAAATGTGCAATTGTTAAGAAAGTAGCTTTATGATGTTTCAGAGAGTTCAAGATGATGCATATCTGGCCATGTAAAATTATTAATTGACTGCAAGGCTATGTGATATCTGCCAGCGCTCCATATTAGACAAGGTTCTGGTGCCTTGTCTCATGATATCATGTAAAATTGTGCAATAAAAAAGTAAGCTATAGGGCCTCCCCTGGTGGCGCAGGTGGTTGAGCACCGTGCTGTGAAACTGTCTGCAACCTCTGCAGCACAGGTTTGATCCCGGCCGGCAGGTGAGGGTCCTACTTGGCGCGGCAGACCTCTCCTGTCGCGCCTGCTGCTCCCCTCAGCAGTGTATTTCAGTCAGTCTGCCTGTTCTGTTCCCTGCTCTGTCTGGTGAATCTCTCTCTCTCTCTCTCTCTCTCTCTCTCTCTCTCTCTCTCTCACACACACACACACACACACACACACACACTATAGATATGTTAACTCATAATATATTCTTAGTAGTGCTTATCACATTTTATAGTTTCTCACCTGACATTTATATTAATGATACAATTGGTTGTGAGATATTGATGATTCATTCACTTGTGCCACAAAGACTTGTTTCTCCTCATCCAAAGTGATGACATTTTACCAAATAAGTGCTATTTTGCCAGCATTCACAGAGGAGGAAACTGAAACACAAAGAATTTAAATTATTTTCTAGCACCCACATATGATTTGCCATGCAGTGAACCCTCAGCAGCATGTCTTCCCCATTCTAGGTAAAAATAGTTTTGGATAGCTGATATCCAAAGATGAGCAAGAGTCTTCCCAGAGAAAGGAATGAGAGACTATTCCACGTACTTTTCATTTTTTCCTAAGATCACCTTAGGGAAAGAATTATAATAAAAGACAGGAGCCAAGAGAGGATGGTGGAGACAGGGTGAAGTGTGGGGCCTGAGGGACTTGGTTTTGCAAATTAGATTGCAAGTGAAATGGAAGCCCTGTAACTGCTGGGGAGAGTATGAGGATATCCTACAACTTGGGACTAAAGAACCTGTTAAACGATAAAAGAGGAACAGGAAGGAGGAAGATACAAACCAATTCATTTCTGCCTGATCATTTTTCCTGTGGGTTAACACTTGTAAAATAATTTCTTGATACTGAATACATAATCATCCATCAATGAAAGCCAGAAATTTTGTTATAGAAGGCTAGGACTGTACAGAAGATGAAGAAATTTTGACTATGTTTAACAAGAATTTATTAACAGAAGGTTCTGGGCTAGGCTTGGGGAATAAATATTAGTTCCTACATACTGGATTCTATTGGCAGCTTGTTTGGCTTTTTAAGTGATACTGTGTTGTGATCAACAAAAGTAACTGGGTATATGTAAATTATTTAAAAAATTTGCAATTCATTTCATGAAATAAATCCACAAATTTGAAATAACTGTATTGTGCTTGGGATACAATCATTAAAATCCTGACTCTGAGATGTATTAGGTCTGTGACTCTAAGTATCTCAACCCTTAAAGTCACAATTTTTCCACAATTGTTTCAAGGAGGATAATAAGATATTCCCTGCCTTTCTCGTGGATTTATTTTTGAATCAACATAAAAATAAGATAATGTATATGAAAATAGGGCCTCCCCTGATGGCGCAAACGGTTGAGCACAGTGCTGTGAAGCGGCACGCAGCCTCTGCAGTGCCTGTTCAATCCCGGCCTGCCAGCGAAGGTCCCACATGGTGCGTCAGACCTCTCCTGTCTCGCCAGACCTCTCCTGTCTCTCCCGCTGCTCCCCTCAGGAGTGTGTTTCGTCAGTCTGCCTGTTCTGTTCCCTGCTCTGTCTCTGGTGGATCCTCTCACCCTCCCGTGCATCCGGCCTATACCCCGGTTCTTGTGTAAATAAAATAAATAAATCTTTTATAAAAAAAAGATAATGTATATGAAAATAAATTTGCATACTAGATTGACTATATTCATTCATTCCTTAATATTTTTCATATTTAGTTATCTGCATCAGATATTTAACTTTCTTTCCTACTCCTAGGGAAATAGCTCTATTTATTAGAAAAGAGGTTGATTTTTTTTTGTGTGTGGGGGAGGGAAAATAAGAAAGTGAAAAAGGTGATTCTTAAACTTGCAAAGGAACAAAACTGAAAATGTAAAGCTTATGGTTTGTGTTGCTCTCCCAAAACCACACATGTTTTGCATGGGAATGAACTAGCAGAAAGAGATTTAGCTGAAATTTCTCAACAAGTATGACCTTTCTGATTTAATGAGAATGAAATCAATTACCCAGTTAGATTCACACGGCTTCGGGGAAAACAAGTCATTAGCCCAGAGTGCAGTCATTAATGAGCCACTGCAGTGAGAAAAACCAAAGTCTACCGATCAGTCAGAAACTGTTAACCATTATCAGAACTTTTTAGTATGCCTTAAATAAGTGGGTTTCAGAGAAATATAGAAAAGTATTTCAAACAGTATAAATGAATATGAATAATCACACATGGTATAGCCAGTTTCTATATATACTTTAAGAAACCTGAATGTTTTGTGCAAATTGATCTGTGGAAGGAAGGGAGGGAGGAAAGACAGGAAAACCACCTAGAAATGAGATAGAAGAAAGATGATTTATGAAAAGGTAAGAATGGACTCTATGGTACATCTCTATCTTCCTGACCTATAGCCCACCAATCACTCTACCAAAGTAATGAGATCCAAAGATAGCTAGCAGTATGAATAAAAATTTACAGCTGCATTTTCTGTTTACATGTAGCTTTGCATTTTATATTTAGATATATTATCCATCTGGAATTCACTAGTAGATAGTGTAAGAATATAATTCTTTTCAAAATTAGTTCACAAATAATTTTAATTTTAGGTAAATGCTTTATCACAGAGGTTTAGACTCTTTATTAGAGACACAACTCTGCTTCTTCTATACAGTGTGATGCCTGCAAGCTATTCTCTAACTCTTCTTTCATCTGTAAAATGTGGATGTTACACTATCTGGAAGAGTTGTGAAAAATAAAAGAGACTATCTATAAAAGCATTTAGCACATAATTAGAACATGAAAAGAATTTACTAAATATCAACTACTCTCATTATTGTTACTTGATCCTGAAATGTCACTGCAATTAATGGAAACATTTTACTGTTTAATTCTTTTGTGTTTGTTGGTTGGTGGATTTGCTGTTGAGTGGTTTGTTTTGTTTA